GTCTCTTTGATAAGATATGTAATATAATAACTACCAACAAAACATCTAAACAAAGAAGTCAACAGCAGCTCCAAAGAACTGTSTCCATCCTACATACTTTCTCCTACTTCAAAAATCAGGTACTTTAAATATGTCAAAGCTTGATTTATACCTGATATGAATRTATCCTGGGCACTTTTCAATTTTCAAACCTAAAACATATCATGTGTTATTTAGAAAAACAACAAGCTACAGCTGGACTGTGGTGTTCACTTGTCAACTCATGGGGCATCTCAACAAGCCTTGATGYCTGGAATGCAAATGYGATTTTCTYCTCATCCCCGAACAGTGCAGAATCGCAAAAAGGAATTGAGCACTGCAAGTTTACATTTAACTAAGGAAGAAATTGATAAAGCATTTAGGGTAAGATATCTAATACAATATCAACATTACATTATGCAAAAATATCAGGGTGCATGCAATAATTYATCTGCAAAAAACAAGGATTGAAAAACAGTGTTATAATTATGCTTACTAGTACTTCTTCATTTTTATGTATCGTGTGCATTCTACTCTCATTTATGAATGCAATATCGTTATTTGTAACTTTCGAACATCAATCTTTATAGAACAAGAAGTTCATATTAATGGTAATTGATGACTTTCATGCTGTGCACACCATCCAAGATCCAAAAGCATCARAAACTAGCAAAGCAATTCATATGTCCACAGAGATTGTTGATATTCACCAAAAAATCAATGCAATACCCTTGACCACAAATCTGCATACAAATGTGCTTGTAAAGAACCAGCAATGTAGAGGAGGAATTGATATTGTCTCCATACAGCAGCTGTTTTCCAATAAGTGTATTAGTCTCTTCTCAACCTTCTTTCAATCAAGCCTCCCTCAGCAGTTTGCACAATTTGAAATGAGAAATGCACAACAGTGTGCAGAACACCTAAGGTAGAGATACAAATGTACATTGTAGTCAAAAATCTGATTAATTAAAAAGTTAATAATTATGGATTATAAAATTGAAGAATCTGCTATTAGTATTATTTCTTGAAAGTAGTTGCATTTACATGTATGTTGAAAACAGATGCTATACAGACCAAGTGAGAAAGGAACTGGATACTTTAAAGTCGACATTTCTTATTGACGAACAAGAAAAATCCCTTAAAAGCTTACAATCTTACAAGGAAGCAGTATGCCATGTGGCTTTGGTGCCTCAGATGCAAGAATATATGAAGAATTTTGCTTTGTATACAACTGAAGACTGGCCAACCTGGTACTTCCAGAAAAAGATGATTGCTCAGGTAGGCAATTAAGCTAAAAGAAAAATATACCAGGAAAAAAAACATTACAACTGTAACATAATTTTCTTTATCTTTAGTTAAACATACAAGAAGATCCATCTAATTTAAATTCATTGGTACCATGGCAAGGTCCCTTTCACGTTTCATTCAATGCTCAACAAAATGTTGTCAAAATGTATCGATTTCTTTTTGAGCCACTTTATAAGGCGATATTTGGTGGAAGAAAAATACTGGCAAAAAAGCCGAAACCATACCGCATCAGCACATTGATCACTGCTTGTTTTGGTGGCTGGCTTCTTGTTAGAGATATGGTCCTCACACACTTTGGTAATCATTACAAGAATACAGAGTTCACGTTACTTAAGTATATCATGGAAGAGGCTGTCCTATTAGTATTTTATTTCTACCCAGTTTTGTTAAGAAGTGGTGATTATGATTCCTACAAAGAAGCACTTCTTCGCATGTCAATAATGTTCATCATCCACCGTCGCCGTCACTATGATAAAGCCACACTCAGTCAACTAAGTGACATGAATCACCATGAGAATCTAGCGAGGTTAAATGAAGTGCAGAGGTCCTTCTTGAATGTATTGACAGAAAAAAAAGTGGAAATATTTCATTCATTACTGCGAAGGTGAACATTTAAAAAATTGATTTTTTTGATTGAACCAATTATTCTTTTGCTTTGTTATAAATTCAATCATTATTGTGAATTATCACTATTATATCTTTTAAGAAATGGATCACATCATAAGACAATAATATATATTAAAATATTTTTGAAAGAGGCAGAAAAATGCAATCAGTAACAATAATACTTTTCTTCCACTGTTTTCAACTTACATGTAAACATGTTTGTATAACATATTATACTTTATAAACAGTGAAATTCAACCGTGGTACACTGCAGAGCAGATAAAAAACGCTGCCCACCTACTTAATACTTTAAGATTCAACAATGGCTTTGAGCAGTGGTTTGCACCAGAATACAAGAGAGGGCAAGGACACCAAGACTACTCAATTCTATGTGGTTTAGCTGCAGAATTTTAATAGATCTCTTTGGTAACYTATGGAATAGTACAGAGAAAACTGTTGTTTGCCAAAAGGGAGAAAGAAGTTTCAGGTACATTTTAAATAAAGTCAAATAATTTTGGATGATATTATTATAATATTATTTTGAAATCATTTCTTTGCACATAGCCATACTACTTACCTACAATTGATGCTACTGTTGACCAGAGGAGTCTTCCCCTTGGCTATGCCTGGGATAAGGATCAACCAGATCCTGAAAAGCTTTGTGATGCAAACAATTGTGTAGTCCAAGACCATGACTATTGTCGACTGTTAACTTGTGGTCACTCCTTTCATATCCACTGCATGCCTGATGGAAGTTGTCCAGTGTGTTTGCCAAACCTATTGTCTAAAATCTCCACAGTTTCTACTACTTTCAATATTGGGCTTCTAGAAAAGAACGAC